GCCAGAAATGGCGGCGGCAAAGAAACGAAAACGAAACCCGAGTGACGGCGCCTGCACCGGTGCGCCCGCAGGCCACGGTGAGCTTCTTCGACACGACGCCGCTGGGCCGCGTCCTCAACCGCTTCTCGTCGGACGTGTACGGCGTGGACGACGGCCTGCCCTTCGTGCTCAACATCCTGCTGGCCAACGTCTTCGCTCTGCTGGGCACGCTGGCCGTGGTGACGTTGGCGCTGCCCTGGCTGCTGCTGGCGCTGCCGCCCCTGGCGCTGCTCTACTTGCGCACGCAGGCCTTCTACCGCCACACCTCCCGCGAGCTCAAGCGGCTGTGCGCCGTCACGCTCTCGCCCATCTACTCGCACTTCTCGGAGACGCTGGCCGGCCTCGCCACCATTCGGGCCAGTCGCAGCTGCGCCAGGTAAGCGGGAAGCAAAGCCGCGCGCTCACCCGGCCGACCGACCGACGGCGGCGACATCGATCGCTTTTGGCTCAATTGTTCAGTTTTGGCATTGCTAAATGGTAAAAAAAAAAAAAAAAAAAACGACCGTATTTTTCGCACTTAAGGCGCACCGAAACGTCTTGCGTTTTCTTCGAAGCTGACGGCGCGCCTTCAAATCCGGTGCGCCTTGTGTATGGTCATTACGGTAATATGTCGACCCCCCCTGCACCCCCTTATATTGGACGCAGTGATGACAAGGCGCAATGTGCAATGCAGCCACTAGATGGAGCGACGCTCCTTCCGTTTGACTCAAGAGGCGTTCACGTCCCCCTCGGAAAAACGTAAATCAAGCATTCCTTCAGTGAAACGACGAACATTGAAAATAACGCGATCAAATTTATTTTGTGCTTTCCTCGCTTGGTTTTCTGTTTTGATGCATTATTTTTTTTCCATTTTCGGAGTTTCATTGAAGTCATCGTTAATTGACGTTTTTTTTCGGAGGCGGACGTGAACGCCTCTTGAGTCAAAACGGAAGGAGCGTCGCTCCATCTAGTGGCTGCATTGCACATTGCGCCTTGTCATCAGTGCGTACAATATAGGAAAAAAAAAAACGAGAAAACGGGTCGTTCATCAGATGTTTGTCGTTTTGTGCGCCGCCAGGTTTGAGGAAGAGAGCGTGCGGCGCTTGGACGAGAACCAGCGCTGCTTGTTCCTCAGCAACGCCGCCACCCAGTGGCTGGACATCCGTCTGCAGCTCATCGGCGTCGCCGTGGTGACCGGCCTCGCCGCCGCCGCCGTCCTGCAGCGGCGCTTCGGCGCGGTCGACCCGGGTGAGGCGCCCGACGGCGATCATCCCGATGATGATGATTTGGCGACCGCCAAATGGCGTCGTGACATCACCGCCCGCGCTCGTGCTTTCAGGCCTGGTGGGTTTGGCGCTGTCGTACGCGCTGTCGCTCACCTCGCTGCTGTCGGGCCTCATCTACGCCTTCACGCAGACCGAGATGCAGCTGGTGAGCGTGGAGCGAGCCCACGAATACTCCAGCAGCCTCCCGGCGGAACCTCAGCAGCAGAGCCCGCAGGTAGGCGGGCGGGGGGCGGGGCCTCCGCCGCCGCAGCGAGCGCCGGCGCCTTCAGCGGTCGCTCCGCTCCTTCTTTTTTTTCAGCTGCCGCCGTCGTGGCCCCGGAGCGGAAGCGTGGAGTTCCGCCGTGTGGTCTTGGTCTACAGGGAAGGTCTTCCCAAGGCCTTGGACGACGTGAGCTTGGCGGTGCGAGGCGGCGAGAAAGTGGGCATCGTGGGCCGCACGGGCTCGGGCAAGTCGTCCCTGTTTGCCGCGCTCTTCCGCACGGCGGAGGTGAGTCGCGGCCGCATCCTCCTGGACGGGCTGGACGTCGCCGGCGTGGGCCTGCGCCAGCTCAGGTGACCTCTCGCGCGGCACACAAAATCGCCAGGAAAATGTCTCGCGGTCAACCGTTGTCGGTTTGCCCGCCGACGGCGCCTCCTCCTCCTCCTCCTCCTCCTCCAGGTCCAGGCTGGCCATCATTCCTCAGGACCCCTTCGTGTTCAGCGGGACCGTCCGAGAGAATCTGGACCCCTGCGGGCGGCACCGGGACCAGCAGCTTCTGGAGGTCCTGAACCAGTGCCACCTGGGCCCGGCGGTCCACGCCATGGGTGAGGCGCCGCCGGATCGGGAAGAATCTTCTTCTTCCCCCGAATGCGTCCCAAGCGCTTTCTCGCTCGCGTGCCGCCGCAGGCGGGCTGGATGCCGAGCTTCAGCACCGGGGCCGGACCTTCTCTCTGGGCCAGCGGCAGCTGCTGTGTCTGGCCCGAGCGCTGCTCACCGAGGCCCAGGTCAGGTGCCGCGATCTTTCGAGGCCCGCCGGCGCTCGCCCGCCCGCCGGCGCTGACGGCGAGATTCCGCCGCCGCAGGTTCTGTGTGTGGACGAGGCCACGGCCAGCGTGGACCGCCGGACGGACCGACTGCTGCAGAAGACCATCGCCGAGCGCTTCCGTCACCGCACGGTCCTCACCATCGCGCATAGGTCCGTCTGTGTGTGTGTGTGGGGGGGGGGGGCTTTGGGGCAAAAATATTGGGACACTCAGGTCGGGACAGAAGAAAACGTGGACGGACGCACACACCCGCAGGATGTGAAAAGGTGTCCAAAGGTCACCGAAAGGGAGAAAAGGTCAAGGGCGCGTGTCCTCTACGGAAGATAACGAGAAAGCAAAATTTGTGTGTGTGTGTGTGTGTGTGCGCACGCCAGGATCAACACCATCTTGGACTGCGACCGCGTGCTGGTGATGCACGCCGGCAAGGTGGCGGACTTCGACACGCCGGCGGCGCTCCGCCAGAAGGACGACTCGCTGTTCCGGCGGCTCCTCGGCAGGGAGGGCGAGCGCGACGCTTCCACGCCAGCGGCCGGCGAACAGACGCCGGCTCCTCCTCCTCCTCGGGGACGCACGTCGCCGGACGTTGGTGTTTGAAGGAGGTCCCCAAAGTGTTTGGTGCCCCCCCCCCGACGGCGACCGTTTTGGTGACAACTGGGACTTTTTTTTTTTTTTATGATGAACTCCTTCGCTCCCAAAGACGTTTTGACGATCATGTGAGGGTAAATTTGGCGCACCGTACCGACGCTTTGCGGTCCTGAGAAGGATGTTCCAACGTGCGATGTAATTTGTCATCATTTTTTGGCTGCTCACCGCGAAATCACGACGAAACCGGTCGGGGCGAGGAAAGGAGGAAACGGCAAACAATAAACACAACACGTGAGTGACGTTTGATCTGAAAGCGGTCGCCCCCCCCCCCTGAGTGTTTTCCTGAGCGCGACTTTTGTCACGATCTGAAAGCGGAAATCACAATGTCTCACATTGGATCGC